TAATTTTTATTATCTGCATTTTTTTTCTAACAAATGTGTAAAATAATAGTAAAATATGCATTTCTAATCAATCATCTAATTTAAGTAGGGGGCTTGCAATCTAGCAACATTTTAGATATAAATAAAATTGATAAATTAATGCTTACTTATTTTGAATGAGACTTAATGCTCAATAGCATTAAGAATAATGCTGAAAAATCACCACCAACTGATCAAGCTAACAAAATAACACATTCTTTTAAATTGGCAATTGGATATTTTAATGCAGTGACGCAAATGTTTTTGGTGGTTTTAAACAGCTGCCTTTGGGATAACATGTAAACTGAATGTTCTTTAAGCCTGATAGAACAGAACACATTATAAATGTTCTCGAACACGAGTTAAAAAATTAAAACAAATACAGTGATATAATTGGTTGAAAAGGATTACATAAGATTTTTTCTGATTTATAAATTGTAATTCCTTATTTGCTGGAAATCTCATACTGTGCCTTCCACAATTGAGACATTGTATGTTTGTCTTTAAAATTTATGTATCTACTTCTACTTGTTGATTTGTAAATTGTAAGCACTCCAAATGCTTGAGTAAGTGATTTCTTGTGACTGTTCTTGCCATCCTTGTATTTTCCCAATTCACTTCCATTCACTTCCATAGATAGCCAAAGCAATAGATAGAGAGTCCTTCCTCATATCATGCTAGTGTTCTGCAATTCTATACCTTAATGAACATTTCATGATACCCATATATTAAAAGTGCTGGTGTATCCTGTTTTCCCCAATTGGGTACAATGTATATGCCCAGTGACAGACAAATAATCTTTATTAGATCCTGACACTGGTAGGCACAATTGGGAATGCTGTAAAAGATATACATTGAAGATCCATGCTGACACAAAAAAGCAGATAACATATGTAAAAAGTAATAAAATATAAAAATAGAAACAAAAAAAAAGTATTAAAAAAAAGCAAAATAATAAACAAGATCATGTATTTACAAGACAAGGAAGATTCTGATCAACAACAACCAAAAACACGATACATACAAGGAGGTGTATTGTATTTGTACCATTGTCCACCAAGGTGATACTAATTCTAGCAAAGTAGAGTATGATCAGTTCTTGAAGAAAATGAAAGTTTTCTTTCAGACACTAAGAGTTCCAACTTGCAAGGCCAATTGGCCCCACTAACAACAATCAAATGGTAAAGAGAGTGACAGATGTCCTCAAGCATAGGACAGTGAATGAGGTAGTGGTACATCCCATCACAAATACCACAGAGAGGACAACAGTCTGTGTTACTATTATGAAATCTGTGTAAGTAGGCATTGAAACATCCGTGCTTACCTAAGGAATTGAGTAAAGTGGTGATGTGGGTGAATCCACTTCCATCTTTCATTTCAGATGATTGCTGACATTTGGGAGGAGTTGCCTAGTAATATGAGTCTCTGGCAAGGAATTCCAGTCATTTTGCCAGCATTCAACCAACAACCATGCTGTTCCATAGCAACTGCTTAATACTGGAGGAGGGAAGCTGACAGTAGACAAAGATGCCCTCATAATTCTCTGTAGTGGTGCAGGCAAGGAAATTTACCCTCTCGTTGCCCAGAGTGCCCTGATGACTCTTGATCCATTTGATATGGAAGGTGTTAGAAGACAGGAATGCAGCAGAAAGGATGTCCCTAGCAATAGGGTGGGTGGTGTCCTTATCCTGTAGGATCTGCACAGTGGCTGCACTATCTGTGCTGATGTTGATGAGTTTCTCCTTATACTCATTGTTGCAATACTGTACAGCCATAAGGACAGCAAAGATTTCTGCCTGGAACATTGAACACTCTGGATGAAGGCTGAAAGTACCATGATGCTTCTCCATGCTAAAGGAAAAGATGACAAATTTACCAGCCATATCTTGTGAAGTCTTTGAGCCATCTGTGAAGGCCTCTATGTCAGAGGGCCCTTTGACCAGGTCAAGACAACTTTTAAATGCAGGATGGAGAGATCACTAAAGTGATAGTCAAGCTCAATGTGCCAGACATCAAATGAGACACTCGGAAGAGTAGCACTTCTTCCTCTTGAAAAATAGAACCTACCCATGGTGTAATAGATTTGCTGTAGAATTTGAGGTTTCCCAGCAATAACTGACAGAGCTGTGTCCGAGACTGTCCTGTTACCGTGAGTCAGATGAATCAGTGCATGGCATTGGACTAGCCTCAATTGCCTGTGGTTATGGGAATGGCTTGCGGCTTCACCCCAAACAGCCATGCTATAACAGATTACCGGGATGAACACACAGTTGTAGATGGAGTTAATCGCTTCATAGCACAAGCCCCAACTATTATGAGCAACACGCAGGAGGTTGTTAAAAATTAGATTAGTCCTATTGGTGATATGCTGAATTTAAGGCTTCCATGAAAACTTATGGTCAAGGACCACACCAAGGAAAGTAAGCTGTTCCACAATTTTTATGGAAGTGTTGTGAAACCTCACACAAGGAACATGCCTAAAGAGATTTGATTTTTCCGGTGCAGAGAACACAATGCCCTTGGTTTTGTCCAGATTGAAGTTTAGCTTATCTGCATCATCCCATTCAATGGTCTTCCTAATAATATCTTCAGCAGCAACCTCAATTGCCCTCTGTGCATTTGCAGGGAAGACAAGAAAAGCATCATCTGCATATGCAAAGATATGGCATTGATATCCAAAGTCCAGGTGGAGTAGACTGTTGAAGAGTATGTCCCAGAAGAGCAGTCCACAGACCAAGCCCTGAGGGCCGCCTCTCCGAAGAACATGAGAGAAGGATTTTTCGCCGATGTTGATAGAGGCTTCTTTATTGCTAAAATAATCCTTCACCAAATAGAATAGGGTTAGCTGGGCAACCATGCACAGAGAGCCTATGTAGGACCTGAGTTCACCAGGCAGAGTTAAAGGCATTTTGCAGGTCCATACTGAGGCCAAAGACATACTTGTGCTCCATGAGTAGATTCTTTATGCAGTTGGTTAAATTCAGTAGTGCATCCATAGAGCCTCCTTTTCTCCTGAAGCCATATTGTGCATTATGAAAGAGGCCATTTGATTCTCAGATCCAAGAGATCATACCATACAACTTGTCCAGGACCTTTCCAAAGATGGAAAGAAGAGAGATGTTCCTCATGTTGTGGACAGTGAGAGATTCATCATGTTTCTTGGGAATGAAGACAAGCTGAGCATGCTTCCAAGAGTAAGGGAAGATCCCAAAGTGTTAGCGCATGCATTGAAAATATCCAGAAGATCTGGTCTGATGTCCAAAGTTTTCTGGATCAGTAACTGCATCAATGCGATCAGGCCCAACCACTTTTTTCTTTGGAAGACTTTTAATGATGTCATTAATCTCACAGAGAATGATCTTCCTTTCTCTTTCCATAAGGTACTCTTCATGACTGAATGATCTTATACTGATCTGATCCAGAGAGCCATCATTAGGAGCATCAGCAGGACAAAAATGATCAGAGAGCCTTTTGACTGTTGCCTGAAAACTCATCTGCAGCATCAGCAACTGGATCATTGCTACCGAGAAGCCTGTGGCACTTGAGCTTGTTTGTACTAAGCTTATAGACAAAGCCCCAGGGATCACCTCCTGCCCCAGAGCAGAAGTTCTGCCACGACTCCAATTTCGCTTTTTTTATTTTTTGCTTGTAGCTCCTCTGATACTCCAGTTAACGTGTATATGACACTCCTCCTATGATTACTGCACAGGGAACGTTGGAACTTTCTGTGCAACCAATTATTCTCCCTTCTCATTGCCGAGAGATTCACATTCCACCAAGGGATGGCCCACCTATGATTTCTCTTCCTTGGGATGGTATCATTACAGACATCACAAATCTGATCAATAACAGCATTAACACAGGCCTCAACCTGAGCCCGTGATGAGTTTTCATTGAGCTGCAAGTTACACCCTTGTAACAGACTCTCAAACCTGCACCAATCAGTAGACCTGGTGTTAAATGAGTAGAACAAACTTTGATCACCTTCTCTTCTTGGATTGGAATAGTGCAAGTCAAATGTAATGTACTCTGTGGGTCTGAGAGACTATCCATAAAACCAACCTTCCAGTTACTAATAGTGGAAGAAGACCACCAGAGCAGATGATCACATCAATCCACGAGATCCCATTCTCAGAAGAAAAGGTTGGTGGAGAGTTAGGGTCATTCAGAATGACCAGATCATTAGCTACCACAAAGCCCTGCAATGCTTTACCGCAGTCATCTTTAGCCTCACCACCCCACATAGGAGAGTGTGCATTGAGGCCGCCAGCAATCAGAAATTGGGCCTGATGAAAGTGCTTTATTGTGTCACTAAGCATACGGAGAGTATCAGTGATGCTAGCCTTTCCAGAGCAGTAGATGCTGAAGACAACTATCCTGATAGCAGTGAGACTAATCTCAAAGCAAACACAGTCTGTGGAGGAGAACTTTGGATGGAAAACAATGGCAACGCAAGGGTTTACAATGACTGCTGCAGCCCAGGGCTGCCTAGAATTGTGCTGTATAATGTAATAATTTAGCCGGAAGCAAGTGACCTTATCACCTGTGCAGTATGGTTCCTGCACCAGTCCAATGTCAAAGTTGTCCAGCTCCTGACAAAGCTGGGAATTTGCAGCAATAGCCATTTTAAGATGATCTGCACAATCTGGATTGTCAAATTCTGTGAGCAAAGTCCATTACTAGACTTACTGGCCATAATCAATTCTTGTTAGGGCTTGAGATCTCATGCAAATTAAGAGAGGGCATTCTCTGTCAAGGACATCATGTTTGCAGTTGCGTTGTTTTTCCCGAACAGGTCATACACTTTGGATCTTATGTCTTCTTATCACAATCCTTGTAGGAGTGATTCCCCCCCACACTGACTATAGGTGAGCATGTCTACATCACAATTTTTGGCGAAGTGCTCGAACTTAAGGCACTTAAAACACTGGCTAACTGGAATGAAGTCCACAACAGCACATCTTGACCACTGGATATTGATATTTGCTTTCCTTCAGCAAAAGGCTCCTAACCTCCGATGCCATCTCAATCACCCAAGAAGCCAACAGTGTATTCTTTTGACTGGTGGGAAAGTCCACATGATCTTTTTCCAGAAACTCTTCCTTAGTGAATGCTTCAGCAATTAGGCTATTTTGTTCAAAAATGGCTTCCAATAAACAATCCCTCTTGAGGGATTTAGGCACAGAAATAACTTTAATCAGTGGTAGGCACAGGTTTTTGGAATTTTAGACTGTAGCCTAGAGACAGTAGAAACAGCATTCTGGAACACCTTGACATCCCCTTTACAACACAGATCCACAGCCATGCCACCTTTCAGAATCTTCCATATCCACTGTACACCAATCTTTAGTTTGTGTGGGTTGACATTATTGGTAAGAGTCCTATGAGTAGCATCAGAGTCTTGAGACTCATCATCCCTATACACTGGAACCATGTGGCAAGGTTTGGGAGGAGTGGAAGTGAGCTGCAGAGGTCCAACCGACTTTAACAGCATCACTGTAATTGCTACCAGAGACAGAAGCAGTTGACTAACCAGCAGCAGAAACAACCTGCTGAGCACCCTTCACAGTCTTTTTGACCACTGCAAGAGCAGCATCCATCTTCTTAGCATGGGAGGCCAAAAGCCTGACCAAATTTCATCCTTGGTAACAAGAGAGTTTAACCAACCGACAAGATCATCAGACAGAACATTAGAGGAGATGTCTGAGACAACAGCAAAAGTTAATCAAACTTGTTGTAAGCTTGATTAACTTTTGCAATTGCTCATGATAAAATATGAATGCTCCCTCGTCCCAAGTTTACCCAAGCGGTTACTGGCCATGTAATCCTTAACCTCATTGAGGATAAGGAAAGCCTGGGAGAGAAAGCCTGAGGGGCCACCATCAGCCTTGATGCAAAGAAACAAGAGAAAATGTCACACCTCACCAATCCCAAGTAGATCTGTGCCAGTGCACTAGTTGCAGTCCCTTGCAGGTGCACTAGTTTTGGCTCCTCAGTATCTTGCCCAGTGACATACATCCTTGTCATTACAGAGAAGCTTATAATGCCAGTTCCTCCTATAATACAACTTATTTCCTGTAGCTGCCACTGTCTTCTATGATTTTCCTCAAGACCATAAAAGACTGGCAGTGACAGGAAGTACTCATTAGCTTTTCAGGCAGCTACATTATAGTACTCCTTAGTCTTTTAGCATGCCTTGTCTAGGTACTCTGATGATATTTTACTACAACATTTTGTTTGGTTATGGTAATATGACATCTGAGCAATCTGTTGTAGGGAGATGCCTCCAGAGAGCACCTAAAAAGGGGCTGGTTCCCTGGGAGAGAAACTGGCCTCTGTTTAAGTGGTACAAACATGAAAATATCCTGGAAATTTCCATGTGGCCAGCCTGTTGGCCAGTCGCAAACCCATGACTGACTACTGGTATTTGATGGTTTTATCCACTCAGCCACTAGTGGGCTAATGCAACATTTATTTCATTGTATTAAAATATCCAATTGCCAATTTAAAAGGTTGGATGACAGTTTGGAAATATTGCTGTATATTCTTGCAGTTAGCTATGACATTTTGGCACCAACTCATGCTTTCATAGAAATTTTAAATGATACAGTCAAACCATATCAAGATTATTTACAGGTCACAAGATTATACAAACTGTGGCATAGGAAATAGCCATGACCATGTTACATATATAATCTCTAATGGATTTCAGTTTCATCATCCTCTTCTGGCTACAAAAATTGGATTGTGGAACATTATTTTATTCTTGAACACACTGTTCTGTAGAACAAGAGAGTTAACTGGTCGACAAAGGATGGGATCCAAGATATCTGAGTCAGTCCACTCATGAAAATTTCTGAAATTAATGCAAACTTGGATTTCTCAGAATGGTAGGCTAGTGCCTTTATCACTTTGGTCATCCAGCCACTTTACAAAACACCATTAATATTGATAAAATCAATGAATGCTCAGAGATATAAATAAGTAGGAATCAAGAAGTTATTCATTATTTAAAACTGATGGTCACAACCACTGTAATATTGGCTAGAATGCATAAAAACATATATTTGCAATCCAAACTACCATGGTTACTTTGTAAACAAAGTCACTGAAGATCTTTTTTGACCAAATCTAATGCTTTGATAATTCATAATTTTCTAATATTTACATCAAATTGAATCAAATTGCATTACATGTATAGAAAATACAGTTAAAGAATAATGTATTAATCAAAACTTGACAGAAAAATAAACTATTTTTTCGAACAGTTTTAACCTGACTTCTACAATATATTTCCTTTAGTCATCCATTTGATGAAGTTTTGAAATGAACTATTTTATAACTTAACTATTTTATTTCAATTCTCAGTTATGCTGTTTTATCTAGTAAGACAAAGTTTTCTGGATAACCAAATTTAAATCTGAATTTGTTTTTTTCACAAATTATGAATGGACAAATTAATATAATTTTCTTGCTTCCAAAATATCAAATGCATATATTGATAGTTCTTCTAAAACTGAAAACTTAAATTTTTAGCAAGTTTGTCTGTCAAACAGCACATTAAATTCTCTCCAATTATTCTCACTTCTCGGGATAAAATTAGTTGGATATCAAAAAGTGACAGAAAATGAAGAAAAATTTTTGGTTAAGAAAGACATACTATAAAAAGCCATCTCAGTATCAAATTAAAAAAATATCTTAGTTACACAGATTACTGTATAATGATTTTTTTATTAAAATTTTTTCTTCCTTATCTATATCCATAAAATCACCTAATTAAATAAACTTAACCTTATATGCAATTTTTAATTAGCTATATATACTTTTGATGTATTTATAATTAAGACTCACTGAAAATATAAATTACCAAAGAAAATGAAAATAAAAGTTGAATTTGTCAGAAAATAGTGTTTTTAGTATTTTTATAAATGATTTTGTGAAAAAATTGCTTGAACTTAGTAGATTGAGTCAATATTTATTTTTGATTAGCAATTTAATTTCTATATATTAATCTCTCATGTATTTAACATTTAATTGCTTCTCCACAATTAAATAATATCATTTGATTTTTCTATGATGACTATAGATGTTATTTTAGATAATTTATAATTTACAGAGTAACATTGAAGACAATTTTTAATTTTCAGATTGCTTTGTTAGTTTCTAATATTTTGAAGGTTTTTGTTAACTATTTGTAGAAACTCACTTGCCATGTTACTTAGCCATCATTAGTTACAAAATTCAGACATTTTATTTTGTTTTATTATTTTTGCATAAAATTAAATTACCACATTCAATAACATACAGCTTTTGCATTGAGAGAAAATAGAACATGGTTTAGTGCAGTGTTTCTCAACCTCTAATGAATCGTCGCCCCTTCAATAAAACCGTTACCTATTATCGCCCCCTTCGCTTCAAAATTCTGATGCCGAGGACCAAGACTAATGCCAAATTCGTACTGCATTGAATAGACTAGTGACTAGTATAATGTTATTTGTTTAATTATTGTACAATATAACAAATAAAATATCTAATTATTCTTAATATNCGCCCCGTTGAGAAACACTGGTTTAGTGTAATCATCTAGATTACACTTGTAAGATTTGTTATAAGGAACTTCTTAACATCTAAATTAATATGTAAATTCACCGTTGCAATATTTAAGCAACTTATACAAAATGTAACAAACATTATTTTCCGAATTGGTAACTAATCGTAGTAATCATCAGTGATTAATTGTAAATAAACAAAAAATACGCTCAGAGAGGTCCGGTTCCAGTTCTCCTCTGCCATTCATATTTGTCTCTTAGTGCCCATTTAGATAATCATAGCCTCTAGGACATAGTAATATAGTCTCTTACAGATTACATAATCATGATATAACAATAAACAAAATTTATTCAGATGATCTATAAAATTGAAAATGTTTTCAATATTATAGGTATATAAATACTCTACAATACATCTGATTATTGACTAATATAATGGAATAAATCTATAATCTGCCATTATTTTTTATTCTGTTCATGATGATTGCATGATTGGAAATGCATTTTTAAGACAGGTAAGAAAATTTGATTTAGACAATTACAGAATACATTAAAAAGAAAAAATTCATATATTTTTATATCTAAATAAAAATATTTTGATCTAATGAAGTTTCTTGATATGCCAAAATAAATTCTTCCAAGTAATGGAATATGAAGTTGATACATACACAATAGAAAAATATGACTAATAGGTTAAGTATAGTATCATAACAAATATGTTTTAAAAAATTACTTATTAAAAATAAATAAAATAATAAATTCTAGTAATAAAAAGCTAAATTTATTAAGTACAAAGACCATAAAAATAAAACTTAATATGTAATATATTTTTTAACTAACATTCTCTTGTATCAGTATTGTCTTTCAGTAATTACTTAAAATATAGTAATCATTAAGATTTTTAACTTTTTAAAACATTTAATGTAAAATAGAAATTTTAAAAAATATTGAGATTGTTCTAGTTATAATAAAAATTTTTAACATAATTTTCAAAATTAACAATTCAAATTCTTCTGAATGAATTTCACAAACTATCAAATCTAACTTTTTTTTAATAGTAACAATAAATTCTTACA